CCAAAGGCTGTATCTGTATTTGGACGAATATGTGAAGATGTCCAATGACATATTGACTTCACATATTCGAACCAAACAGGTATGTAAAAGCGAGTATATGGGTCCAATCTGGTCCATATAATATATTGCTGTATGTAACAATTTTGGTGTAAAAGTTGGTCACATAATATGTGACCGACCGAACCGAACGGGCCCTAATGGATGATCAAAAATGAGAATTCAATGATAATTGGATGGTTCAAAGTTCTAACAGGAATGACCAGCGCTGCCCTATTTTTGAGAACAAGACTCAAGATCTAAGAAAGAAGTGATGGGTTGGTGCAAGAGAGATTCTTTGAGAAGCAAGTACAGTTGATCAAGTTTTCATTTATGGGGCACCTTGAGAGCTGACTGAAGCAAGAAATTATCCCAGGTTGCTTGTGTGGGATGTTAAAATATAAGAGGATTTTTAAGATCCTTTTTCCAATCATCTTTTCTAATGTACTCTACATTTCAACGGTGTGAGAGCTCTGTACTCGATGCTCATCTACATACCTTTCTCTTGATCATAACTTTGTCTTGAGAAGTTGAACCAAGATTTTGTTTTGAGAAGGCAAGAGACTGATAATGACAAATAAGAGAAATTTGATTTGGTCATGCTAAAGAGCCAGGATAAGTATGTATAGTAGGTCACTTGTGTCTCAATCACTTCCTTAAAGGTTCAAAACCTTGTATACAATTTGGCATGAGAGTAAGCTCAATACACTGTCTGTATAGTTGACTCAAAGCACTGTTCTTAGCCCTGGTTCCATAGATATGTTGTTCTCCAAGCTTTACTCTCAGAAGCATTGGGTTGGCCAAAGGCTTTATCTAACAATTTTCACCAATTTTTGAAAGTTTTTTACCATCATTCATAAGGGGATGTTGGAAACTTTGTTTGCCCAATGACCAATTTATTTCTAGTCTATCCAGCTTAACCATCCTCAAGGCAAATTTAGATGCCATACTTCCAGATGATGGGGTGGTTCTGGGTTGTCCAAGGCTTTGAGGGGGCAATTGCCACAAGCTGAAGAAAGAGACAAGAATTAGGGTATACAGATATCATTTTGCATAACATCCATACCTATGACCTGACCTTTTCTTCTCATGGATGCTCCCAATTTGGGGTCAGGAATTAAGGATGTCTGATGACTTCAAGTTCCAGAGAAGTTATGCTGGGTTGAGCCTGGCTGACCCTGTTACTGGCCAGGTTGATTTGAGGGCTCACCTTACATATTAGTTCTGAGCCTGAAAAGCCAAGATTGGCTTACAAACCACTATTCAGTAAAGCTTTCAAAGTGCATGAAACTTATTAATTTACCTCAGCTTTCAGACAGATGTGCATCATCACAAGGATTCTGAACCTGTTGACAAGTACAACTCAGACACCTGATACCCTAGCCTTGGTGTAGGGCTTTTAGATCCAGCCCCTCTGGCCTTGGTCTTGGCCCCAAGTCATGATAGATCCCCAGGGAAGACTCAGCCAGTCAGGGACAGGTCACTACCCCAAGTTCATGTGCATGACTTTGAAGTTCAGACAATTTTTATGACTTTGTCATGATTATCAGTGCTGATGGGCCCTCAGATGGGCTTCAAGAATTTGAATCACTCCAGCAGCAGTCACAGTGATGATGACATAAATTTTTATTCTCAGAATGCAAAATGGATTCTCTTTCCATCTTTTAAGATGGTGACTGTGATGTTTGACCATATTAAACTCTCCAGACAAGACTTCTGAAATTCAAAATTTAGATCCTCATATCATCTTGACATCACACCATCATTTGATCTTTATCTGATGTCAATTCTTGTCAGCCCTGAGTACATATACATGTACCCAAAACTAACCTGTAACAGTAAAAAACACATGTATAAGATTAATTACATTGTTACATACTGAGCATAGACTGTATGTAACATGTAATACAATGTATCAAAACCTTTATTACATATACATGAACCTGTAAAACAACATGTAATATGTAATAAATCACCATTTACACCTCATAACTCAGTGTCAAGAGTTAAATGCTTATATTACATATCACACATAACATGTATATGTAATTAAGCATTACTAGTAACAATCATTACTACATGTTAATGACTAACCCTGAACCAATGTAGTGATAATAACAAATATCACTACAGTTAGGTTTAGAGAGGAGAGTATATAAACCCCTCCTCTCTCAGCCTTCAGAGATTCCCCCAAGATATAATTACCCACTACTTTTAAAGAACAATTAAAGTTCAACTGAAGTAAATATCAAGAGTCTTATATAAATAAGACTAGTGATAAGCTTCATCAAACTTTAATCAGCTTCCTGATTAAAAGTAGGTAATACATTCTTCACTCCCCTCTGGATCCTCTACTTCCCCCAAGTAGAAAGAGGGCCACTTTCTCTGCCAAACTCCAGTTTTTAGGTGTGCAACTAACTCAACTAAGTCCCTCTTGGACGAACGAGTAGTTGAGAGAGGGACTTATACCTTATACCACATCTTTGGCGGATGAGCCGGAAAAGTTTTGGTGGGCACGGTTTCAATCCTCCATATCTCCGTAGCCTGTAAGCAAATTTCCTCTGGACCAAAGAAAAAAGCTGTGTGCCTATGCCTGATCATCCTACACACACACATGTTTTCAAATCCCTCTCTTGCCACCAGGAAAGCCCTTAAAAACAGACTTGAAGAACTGGTTTTTGTGTAACATTTCAGCGCTTTTGGGGTCAGGTTGGTCAGTTTTCTGCCTGATTTTGGTGTTTTCTGAAAACTTCACAATCACATTACTCTGTGGGTTTTCAATAAAATAAGAAGTAGGCTACACACATGTGTGTAGATTAAGCAGGCGCGCAGGGTTTTTCTTTGGTCCAGAGGAAATTTGTTTACAGGCTACGGAGATATGGAGGATTGAAACTGTGCCCACCAAAACTTTTCCAGCTCATCCGCCAAAGATGTGGTATAAGGTATAATGTAAACCTAGAGGTAAGAATAGGTACCCTTAGGAAGACAAAGAAACCCTTACTACATTGCATATTAAAATAAAAAACACCTTATAAAAAAAGATACTTCGATAATCACAACGAATCTTGAAGTTACCACACCTCACACTCAAGTCTCAAGAGTGAATGAAATGAATAAAAAAAAACCCTGGCCATGATGATAATCACAGCCAGGACCAGAATCACTTTAATCATAAAACAAACCTACCAAGGCAACTACTAGAATTCTAAGACCCTAATCAAGACCATATCGATAACAACCAATTTGTACCCTGACTAGGAGTTCTTCGAAAATAACCAGTCAGGATCTAAAACCACATTCTAACCCTGACTAAGCAAAGAACAGCTGAACACGTCAGAGGAAGAAAGCTATCTCACCAAAAGGAAAAAGCACGAGTATAAAATACAAGGCTTTACCGGCAGAGATAATCTTTTTGACATCAGATATCACAACCAACATACTTCCACTTCTTTAGAACTTTATCATTTTGATAACAATTCAAACAAACCCAGCCGCATACATTTAACTTAGATTTTGATAACTCATTGTTACAAACCTATTTTTTATAGTTCTCTTGTGGTTTAAAACACAATTTGTTATCGTGGTTCTCTTGTTCTATCTCTAGCTCCAGTATAGTTTATAACTGCTCCACTACCTAGTCAAAAATAACTCCTATATCTTTTTCTATTAAGAACTCAAAACTCTTATTGTTAAAAGTAGAGTTTACAGACTCACCCTGAGGAAGGATTATTACTATAACCTCCTGTAGAAGACCACTTGAATATATTGATTATATTAACGTGAGTGCCTTCCTTGTTACTGTTACTGTCAGTGAACTTACAAAACTAACACCTGACGTTTAACTCGTAGGCTCAAATTTATCTCAATAAAGACAAACACTTTATTGTAACAAAGCCGCAATTCTCTTTTCATACTATCTTAAGTGCGTTCTATTCAGTTTGGTCTAGCCTTTATAGACTCAGGCTGACATATAAGTCCCTCTCAGACAAATTAAGTTAGGCTGTGCAAACTTCAAAGTGACAGTACATAAGTCGCTCTCAAACCTGACCCAGTTTCAAAAAACCCAGGTGACCCAGTGGAATTTTTGGCTGGGAGCTGTCAACAAATGTCAACTTGATACACAAAGTTACTGCCAAAAAGTCAACTGGGTTAACTGGGTTTTGAAAACTGGGTCAGGTTTGAGAGCCACTATACACAAATCCTTTCTGAAGTACCGATTAGCCAAACTACACCAGCTAAATGCAATGAAGACCAAATTATACGTCCCTTATCACCAAATTCAATGTAGACCAATTCCAGTCCTGAAACAGTCTGAAGAGAACAAAAGTAAGATATGAATGGACAGAATTTAAAATAGTACACAAATTGTTACTTTTGTTTTCATCACCTGGAGATCAATGATCTGACACATTTGCATCCAATTCAGAAGTCAGTGGTACAAGTTCAAATGTAAAGAAAAAGTCTCTCCAGTATATATCAAAGGTTTTGGGTGTCCAGATCAAGGAGTTAAAGTTGAGAAAATATCTTGTAAAAGACCACAACCTTTGGGGTCCAAATAATACCATTCTTTCAGATTACTGAAAGACATCATGCCAATCATCTATTGTTCTGATAAGATTCTCAAGCTTATTGGGGATTGAGGAATTTTTATGGAGGATTTTGTTGCAAATTAATTTGCAATTTTTCCTCAACTCAAACTCAAATTCATCCAGTGCCTGTTTTACATTCCGGGCACATAAATCAAGGTACAAGTATCCATGTTGAAAAATAAAGGTTTGATGAACAGTTATTTGAGGATAGTTGCAGCCTGAAGGTATGCTTAGATATGGCATCATAGAAGGAATCTGGGGTCTTATTTGCTTCATGGAAAGAGACAAAACTGAAGAATCATATTCTCAAAGTTTCACAACAGCTCCCATTAAAAGATAACTGCATAAATTGGAATTCAGTTAACTTCAAACTTTGATGTTGAATGACATGCAAGAAAAATTGCATGTATAAAATGATAGCTAGATATTAGAAGATGATATATTTCAAAGAAAAAAACAAGAAGTCAAATATTCAGAGAAAACCCAAGAGATTCAAAAAAAATACAAAGTACTGAAGATAACAACGTTCAAGGTAATAAAGAAAATTGCAAGAGAAAAAAAGATGTCATATTGTAGTAAATCATTATGATGAGGAGTTTGAACAAGAAGCGGTGAGATCAGTCATATAAGTAGAAGCCCAAGACTTGTATGATGTTGGGGATACTTCCGTGCGCACGATTCGCAAAGGCTCAGTTCTCGCCAGCAATGCATATTCTAACCTCGTGTCATCAATAACGTCTTGTGCCCTCGGACGACCTGGACGTGAGAGTTCAAGTTGATTACTGAGCTCTCTGTCGGAATCCGAACTTGTACTTGTACTTTGGACCGACAAAGGTTTCGCGGGTGGGGATGATACAATTGATTGTAGAAGTCTGGAAGATAGAGGCTGGGTAGTTGGAGTAGGACCTCGGCGACGTAAGAAATGACGAGCAGGAGACACACTCCACTTCGCCTCTTGATGAGTAGGGTTTTCGGGAGGAGACACACTCCACTTCGCCTCTTGATGAATAGGGTTTTCCGGAGGAGACACACTCCACTTCGCCTCTTGATGAGTAGGGTTTTCAGGAGTAAGCCAGGCTTCCTTTTCTTTCGATGATGGCATGCTGGAGGATTCTTCTGAATACACCGAAGTCGGTGAACTGCTCCGAGAGCATGGTTGACTGGATGGTGGCTTGGTCTTTGTGAAATACCCATTCGATTTAGGAGTGGTAGTGGATGTGACATGCTCAGGTTTGCCTCCGGCGGGGTTTTTCTCTAGCTCAGGTGTGAATGGGCCCGATGTATGAGAACGCGACAATCCTGATTGCTTTGGGATGGGGACTGAAGGTCTTGGAAAGTATAACGGGAATTGAGTGGGAGATGCTAGGCGAAGGTTAATGGGGGAGGCGAGCACTCCCTGGCGCTGTAAGACCTTATCGTGCGCTGTCGAGCTATTAATCTTGTAAACATCTACGGGTGAACGAGCCGGTTCTTGATGTTCTTGGCTAGACTTTATCAAGCTCCAAGGCTGAAGATGAAGACATGGTACAAATTTGAGCGTAAGTCATTACAGTCCGGAGTAAGTGCGATTGGCTGAGAGGACTAACCTCGTGATAGAATGAGTCACGCATCACGCCTTCCATTAATGTACTTGAAACTAATCGATGCGATATGCTGGATGACAGAGTTAACACCGGCAGTGGCATCGGCGAGACTGCTCGAATCATTGATAGCTAAAAGCGAGGTAACAAGCAAATTGAGCGAGAAACGTTGCATGCATATTGCACCCATCACAGCCGAAAATATGGAATCTATACTGACTTCACCTTTCATTATGTTTGACAATCCTACGCTTGATTTTGAAGGTCTGAGTCTATCGAACGCAGAGCGGACGCGAGTACCCAGCTTGTTCTTGTTTTCGCGAAAACCCATGGCGATTGATGGTGATCTTCAGGAAAAGTTGATTGGTATTGTTATAGAAAGCTGCGAGAAACTTTGGATAGGTAAATCCAACAAGAAATGTTTAAGAAAAAGAAGAGCAAGCAAAGCAAGACAAGAAAATACAGCAAGGAATCAGGCTGTTTTGATAACAATGCAAGGCGAGTGTAGGATTTTTAAGTGCGCAAAGGTAGAAGTGGTATCGAAATCAGCCTTTGGCTAATGTTCACGATAAGGCAAAATTGAGAGTTTGGAGTGGGGAAGACGAAAAAGTTGATGGGATGTGACCTAGACAGTCTTTTATATACGACTGGAATCGGTGAACAAGCTTCAAAGGATTTAGGAAACGCTTGACAAGAAGTCAGGACAAGGTCTTGATGAGTTTTCCAGGGCTCAGAGTCATGAGATGTTAGCAGCCCACGTGATGATTGAATCTCATGCGCATAACAGCCAAGTTGAGGGAGATGTGATGATTGGGTGCGAGTTAGTAGTTGTCACACAAACCAAGGTTCTGATAATGAGAAATTACAAAATAGAGTACGATTTAACTGACTGACCCCTGTACCTCATATTCATTGCTCAGACCAGCGCTGAGCAGCGGGATGCAAGGAAGGCGAGGTCTTCACAGCGTGCTGTGAAAGTGCTTTCCATGACGGGAACATCGAACCATGGCTATGACCAATAACAGCTCAAGGGATCCCAGCTGCTGAGCCCCCCAGAGTTGTAGAACTGACCCGTGCCGCCTTTTTAAATCATAATTTACGTAACTCCGACTTCCCTAGTAGTGGTCTCTGTTCATATCGAGCCTCAACTACTTCCATGTTTGTCTGACCACGAGGCTGAAGTCTTGCACAAGACCCATGTCTTTAATATGCATAATGTTCTCGTCTTGGGCTTATCCAATGAGAGTGTAACCACCTCGCCAAGGATATGTTCAGCAGAAGCATTTTCAACTCCCCTCTTCCAACACATCTCTCCCCACAGATGAAGGGTCTCCTTCCATCTCTTGAATATGGTGCAGTTTGAGGAAAAATATTACAATTAAGTTAAGAAGCATCAGTCTACCTGACAGTTCACATACAACAAGCTTGGCACAAGCTAAAAATCATGCTCGCCTTTAACCTTCATTGAGCATTATCTTTTGTAAAAACTTCTCCTATCTCTTGAACTATCATTGGCAAGCTCATTTTTGCACTTTTTTTCTACGTCCCTCTTGACCCTTCCGCACCTCCTCAATTCCCAAGTGTGACTCGCCAGAACTTCTTCAAGGTCTTGCGCGTCTTCTGTGATGTTTTGAGTTGATCGACGTTGCTAGAGATATTCCAATTTGGATTTCTAGATCACTTCATTTTGGGGTGTGCTTGCAAGCCAGAGTATTGTTTTACAGGTACATGTAAAAGGGTTTGCTAGTTTTACCATCAAAACCAGAGTGACTTTGTTTGTATATGGGGGCTGTTCTGAAGATTACCAAAGTATATGTAGAAAGCTCAGACCAAGCCTGCCACGGCTGGGTGTGACGTTTGATGAGGTATGGCATCGAAGAGAAATGAGTCAAAAACTCTGCTGGTCTCAGGCAAAAACCAAAGCGTGATTCGCGAGCTCCCGCATTGTTTGGTGCGAACAAGTGCATCGTTTGACTCGAGAGAAGCACAATAAGATGCTAGCCTCAACGGCAAATCTTCTCCCAAGCATTCCGCCAATGGTAACCGAGGGAAACACGGCGATATTCAACAAAACCAAAGCATTTGGCACCTGAAACACGAGCATAGAATCGCTGATTGGCCAATGATATATGTGGAACCAATCTAGATCATAGCTCTGCTCCATATCCTCCATATGTACCTGCCAACACAGAAAGTAGCAACTATACAGGCCTTTCTCCCATCAAAGAGACGAGGCGGATCACTGTTCGTTTGATGATATGGTGCTCTATACGGCCGTCTGTCTCAATCTTTACTTGAGCGCTTCACTCCAACATCCTGAATGGCTTGATGGATGGCATTGTTTTGATAGGGACCTTGCATTGGGTCTCACAATGTGAAGGGAAAATGCCGAGCTCGGGAATTCTCGCATAAACCCCGAACCGAGTGATTTGGCAGACTACAAAGTTGTGCTGATGTGTGTGTAATTGCCACGATAAGCTGAGAGTCATGATTTCAGCAACCAAACAGACCTAGAATAACTTCATGCCTTTAGTCGACTCATGTGTTGTCAGCTTGACTTGCCAAGATACTCTGCAGATGTCAGAGTAAACTGGCAGATATTAACCAGGCGGGCTCAACGGTCATAAATCGTCTCCCCTCGACTGCCGCCTACGTATGGATTGCGCTGTATGCACCAAAAGTCAATGAACGCTTAGCTGCTTCAACCGCCAATCCTATCCGAGTGGTCACCGTAGCCCAAGATTTTGATCTTGCCACTGAAGCACATCTCCAGGAGAAGATATTACGAGAAAAATAAACTAATGCACAAGAAGAGTGTATGGCATGGTTCTTTCGAGGTTAGAAGTGGAGAAATCAACTTCACAATCGACTCATCTCAGTTCATCACAACTCCGCCCTTGACTCTACCTGTGCATCTAACAAGTCCTCGTCTCTTATCTCGCTAATTGCAATCATCTCGACAAATCACTCCATACGAATTGTAAATTATTTCTTCTCGTCAAGGCTGGCCTTTCCTCAATCAATCGCCGATAGACAGTGTGCTGCTTCAGTTTTGTTTTCAAAGTTCACCAGTAACATATTCCCTTCATTGGATTTTTGTAAGACATCTTCCCACGGAGCTCTTCAATTAGCTGGCTTTCACTCAGCAGTAACCTTTCTCATCAAAATCGAATCACGACACTCTCCCATCATGCAACTCAAGCAAATCCTCCTCAATGCCCCACCTCACTACAATCCTTATGCCTTCGCCTTGAGCGTTCTTCAGCACGACGACAACCCTCCCGCCCCGTCTTATACCTTCCCAGTTATCATCTTCTTTGCGGTAGTGTATGCATTGATCATCATGTGTTGTATTTTTATCATCGCGTTACCTTTTTTCCAAGGTCAAACTAATCGAGATAGACATCTTTGGATTCTGAAAAGAAGTTATACGCATCGTAGTTCGTGATTTTCTTTTCTCACATCCTGCGCATCTTTTGTCAAGTCAACATGGTACCTTTTGCTCACTGAACATGAGCTCCATTTCCCTCGACAGGTTCTACGCCCTATTTCATATTCAACAAGTACGTCCTGAACATACTTTCCAATAATTCCAAAAAACAACCCTTGGAACAGCATCTTATTGATCACAATCCATCAAACCCATCCTCGCTATAAAAGTGGTTTGGTCCTGGCGATCACACAGCTTGCAGCGAGCGCGTTCTTCGCAGTGTATATCGCATTTTTATACAAATCTTTTAAATCAGCAGAATTTGGTAAAGAAGCCAATGGCCTAGCCTGGTCAGCACCCGTGACACTGCTCCAAATGCTTCTTATGTGCAAAACTGATCTTCCTATCTCGTTAATCCACATTTCAGGGCTGAAATTAGATGGGTGAGTACCAGTCCCATCATCGAGCTTGGAGAACATCAGCTGAGATCATATGACAGCTTCCAGGTTATTACGGGTATTTCGTCCACGCATGGACTGCTTTCCATACATGGTCAGTCTGAAACAAGCCTTTATCTCATGACTCGGTGGGGGTAGTCGAGTGATTTCGATTTAAACTCATCATCGATCAAAAAACTATCATCATTCAGGCAACATCAATCTTCCTCAACTCGAAAATCAAAAGCCTCTGAAGCTTCAGGGCTTCATCCGTGGATCTTCAACGGTATCTTGATCTTGGTCCCAGTGATCGTGACCGTGGTCGCTGTCGTTATGACAATTCTTCAGTCACACGCTGTACACCAATCTTTACAGACCACAGAACAATTTTACGAAACCCTCGGAATCGCCTCTTCAAGATGGAACAGTGGTTATCACAATCTCACTTCCTCAGAAGAAAATTTATTAGAAAAGAAATTTTCAAGATACCAAGTGGATGGGGTTGGGGCCCTCCAACGCACACGAGACACCGTAATATTTTGGAATGTATCCGGCCTTCCGACTTTGATAGTAAGAATACTGTCCTCAATCTATTTCACTCTCTGTATCAGTAGACATGACTGACTCCTTTGTTGAACACACTCTTGCCGTCCAACAGTTTTATATCATAAGTGTTTGGGGCTTACTCAACGTAATCAAAGGAATCTTAAATGAAGTCAATCGGTCAACCGATTCTGTGGTGTTAAGTGACGAAACTGGTGTCCAAAATTTCACACCTGATCGAAAAACTAGTCTTTCTGTGCACGGCGGAGCTAACAGCACCATGAAACGGAATCACAGTGAGTGAATCAACCCTCGATATTCAATCGATTTCTCTAAATAACATTAACATCATCTCCTCCTTTTCGCAGCCTTCTTAGCTTGGCATTACAGTGTATTGGCGATCACCCTTCTGTTTGATACGGCAGTTGGGGCTTACTTCACCTCGCAGGACAACGTCCAAGTGAGAAAGTAAGTTTGTACGGCCAAGATATTGTCCAAATTGTACTAACTATGATTTCAGATACGTATCCACACATCGCTAACATGACCTTCTTCCTACCTCTTATTACAGAGCCAGCTCGCGCAGTATCGCAGTCCTTGGTAGTCTAGGAGGATCAGTTCCTATGCTGGTAGCCATGCTCATCTTAATGGTCCGCTGCGTGTTCTCTCGACAAATAAGTTTCCTTACATGTCTATGAAAGGATGCTCACGTTGTGCCAAATGGTTTCAATTACTTTTGGGAATTCTTCTTTTCTCCTTCAGTTCCATATAGCCACAGACAATCAAGAACCACCATCCTCACTGATCAATAACAATCAGATCATCGTTGGTGATCTGAATTATGCCGAGGTAGGTTTGATTTCTATATATCCCTTCAATGAAGTTTTGAAAGACTCAATGTACTCATTTTTCTTACCGCTTTTGAAAGTATGCAATTTCGACCAATAGTGACATCAAAGCTCACTTTTAAAATTCATACTCAAATGTCAATAGCAAAAATTGTGAATCTCCATTTTCGAAGGTCACATAAAAAAATCCCAACGGACATCTATATCTTCAATACTTGTCACCTTTTATAGACAAAAATAATCTTGAATCAATCATCTTGATTCACCTCAATGTATTTTTTTCGCTCCATTTTTTATAAACAATCAGTAATTAATTGCCTCAAGATGTACGTAGTATTGTGTTCAGTCCTTGTAGATTTTGACGGATTTTTCCGCAGATGAAAGCTTTTTTGAGTTATTTATCATCTTGTAAAAATTAGTTCAAAGTAAAATTTTGGTAGCCTATTAGAAACACTACGGAAATTTAGCTGTAAGCAAAAGGCATGCTCAAGTTAAGTTAAATGTATATGAAAATAGATTAAACGTTCACGTGGTATATAATTATTTAAATTTGAACCCTTGCCTTCCGACCCTCCATGTTGACGGTGTGGAAAGTAAATTGTCCAAACCTTACATTATTTTCAAGGAAACCAGTCCTCAGAGTCATCATCACACATGTCAACTACTTCCGCGTGGGCAGCTTTCGTTTAGAGGTAATCATGCGGAGATTTCTCCTTTCTCTTTTAAGACTCCTTCCTATCAAGGCCGGTTAAGCTTTCTGTTCTTTAACTTGATTTCTGTTCTTTTGTCTTTTGTTCTCATATTTTGTATTTGTTCAAATTGTTGTCTTTTTGTCCGGCGCTTGGCTACAGTTTTTGCCCATTCAATCTCATTTTTCTTACTTATATCTTCTACAAGACTTGCAAGCATTTAAAAAATTGGAATGAACCGAAAGGTGCTCCTTGACATAAAATTCTTTCAATTATACCTCTTGATGTTGTCTACAACAGAGGATCAATATGATTCATAACACCGAGTGCTGTTAGAAACCGAAAACACACTTGTGATCGTCCCAAGGTTATAATTTAAATACCATCAAGTTGGGCTAGTGTTACACCGTATCCTTCATGCTTTGAATCCTAAAACCTTTATAAGTTTTTTTGAAATTAAATTTCTTCGATTCCCCCTGTCCCAGCCTATCCCGATCTCCAAGTGAGGCTCAGCTTTGGGGTTGTGAATTGATCCCTGTTGTTACAGAAGAAAAAATTATCTTAGTGGGTTGATTGAAAACAAAAGTTGAAAATATTTTATGGAGCCACATCCTTGCCTCCAGCATGCGATCACGGTCACCTGAGCTGGGGTCCAGAAATCCTTTGGTCATACCGGGGCCGCCCCCGGGCCTGGGCTGCCGTGACTCGTCAGAGCTTGCGGATGGAAGTCCGGATCGGGTCGGTCGAAGTTCTATTCTTTGAGACGGTCTGTGTGAAACTTGAATCAATTCACTTGAAACTCCTTTAACAATAAACTCCTTTTCTGAATTCCACAATCCAAAGAAACTTTCAGCTTCACCAAGATCAACTTCAAGTTACGAAAAAAAATTCAAGAGACGAGAAGATGGAAGTGATATGGGATACCGAAAAGTTAGAAAAAAGTTCATATATTTCTAACTCTTTCAAAACAAAACAATCATCATCATTAACTTTCTATCCAATCACATTTCATAAATCCATAAGATCCTAGCGAATATTTCAAAATCAATTCTCCTATAAAAACTTTGATATCATCAATTCTTAAATAAACATATTCAATTTAAACAAAAGCTTATGAATTTCTTTGTTTTTTTTGGGTGGAATTCTATAGGATTTACGTTGATCTTCCATTGGCCAGTATGACACTTGGAAGTTTAAAAAGTTATTTATCATCTAAAACAGGCGTCTTACCTAACCAAATGAAACTATACATGAATGGAGGATTAATGAAAGACAATTTAACACCTTTAAGTGCATATCAAAATGAGATGAGTCAAACTTCAGAAGAATCAAATCCAGAAGAATCCATTGAAAATAAATCAAGTTTTTGGAGTGGGATCTTAGGAGGAATTAAAAAAAATAAAAAACCTTTGATGAAGATTAGGATGATTGGATCGATTGAAACTAAAGGGTTTGTGATTGATCGAAGTGATTTAGAATCTCATCGGTTCAACAATCCAAGCGAACCTTCAAACAATCATTCAAGTTTTTCAAGATCTCATTCGAATTCTAATCAACCTAGTCTTACAAATGAAACGAATTCGATCACAGAGATTCGAGAGTTAACTAACCAAACCGTTTTGAATTTAAGACCTAAAGTTGAAGAACTTGAAGCATCCGTTCAAGCTGATGATCAAGAACCCAAAACTTGGGATTCGAATCAACTTCAATCTTTTTCAACTGTTTCTGAAATGTTATTACAAAGTTTATTGAAATTAGATGGATTTGAAATTGATGTAGAATGGAATGAAGCAAGAGCTGCACGTAAAGAAAGTGTTAAACTTGTTCAATCTCTCTTAGGTAAACTCACATCACTCTTTCTTTTCCTCAATTGACCTTGTGATTGACTGACACCTCAATTGTTGTTTATAGATCGACTGGATCAAGCTAAAGCCAATCAAACTCAAAAATGATCACCAACTTTCTTTTTCTTTACTACCATTTCTTCATTTCCTTTGACGCAATCATCTTGAATTCCTTGAAAGAGAAAACCCATCAAGCTTGTAATTGTACAAAACCCTAGTTTTTCTTCTTCTTCAAAGAACCTTGATGCAAATTTAGAACATCTGATCTTTTTCTTATGTACTTGAGCAAATTGATGATGGATGAGATTCTTGAGATCTTACTAGGTTTATTTATAATCTGAGTTAACTTGAAAGATCTTCTTATATGGATTTCTTGATCAGAGAATGTTAGTGATGATTGATTGAGTAAATAAGTATACCTAGATCTTCAAAACAAATATGATCCATGTGTCTTTGTGGAAGTTTCCTTTGATTTCAGCATGAGTTGGGTAAAAACCATTAGATCACATTAGTCTATGGAAGTGAATTCTTGTGTGGAGAGATACAAGACATTAAAAGATCAAAACCAAGGGATTTCATGGCAAAATTGCCATGAAATTTGTTGAATAAAAGTTAACTAGAAAGATCTCAATGTGATCAAAACCTTGTGGAGTGTTTCATAATCTAGAGGATCAGATCAGTGAATATTTGTGTCACTCACCAAGATGGATCTTGTAAAGAAGGTCAACTTGATTGAGTAGACAGTAGATTTTGAATGGAACTTTATGGGACAAGTTGACCACAAAACAGAGGTGAACATGATTCTTGAAAGACTATTGGAATATGGTAGAAAGATGCTTTATAGAGATTTGTTTGATTTGAAGTCTAAGCCTGAGTCATCAGAGTCAGCAAAGGTTGATCTCCAATCCAGTTTAAAAGATGAAGGACTTGAAACAGAACACTTTAGATATCAAACTCTAAATTGATGGGTACATAAATCTAATCTCTTAAGAGTCGAATGATTTGAAGATCTTAAAACCCGGCGATCATGGTAAGTATACAAATTAAAGTTCATCGATGAGTAATCCAACCTACATTTGATCAAACTTGAAATCTTGATATGTGCCGAGTCAGATTGTACATACCGCAAGATGAGAATTGAAAGCGTTTTTATGTAAATTAAAAATCTGATTTTTTTTGGTTGTGAAATTGAAAATTGAAGATTAAAAGTGAAAAAGCGAAAAAAATCAAGTTTAAATATCGGATTTTGATCAGTACTTACAGCCGATGTGACAAATAATGGTTTTTTATTTTTATTTTTTCCAACTTCCAGATTTTACTGGGTTTTCGAAATGTGGATAAAACGTTTTTTTTTTTTTTCCAGTGAGAAAGTGGGAAGGGAACTCTCAAAAGAGTTGACAGATTCCCACGTAATACACATATGTAAGAAGATACATATTACGCAGCCGATGGAAGATCTTCTGGGATCTCCCGGTAAGTTCCGATGATTGTAGAGGTGTCAGTTGGATGCGATTGGCCAGACCTCTCCTGCGAATTCCCTATCCGGTTGTCCCCTTTCCAGCTCGGCAATCCTCCCTCCAATCACCTTTTCACCAATATGCCACCGGTAATCTTCTTTCTCTCGTTTCATCCCCCAATTCTCGCTTTGCTCATGGCTCATGTTGGCTTTTTTCAGTATCGGATTGCTCATCACAGTCCGGAAATCAAACTGGCTGTGGTTCGCTTGGCCCTCACTGGGGTTCGCTTTCAGGACATCTCTAGGACCCTCGGGATGGACCTAGCTCTCACCTCTGTACGTCGCTGGGTCAAACTGTACCAGGAAACTCGGTCAGTCGTAACGAATCCGTTGGATCACATGAATCGCGGTGCACCTTTGATCTTGGGAGGACCCGAGCGACTTTTCGTGCTGGACAGCCTTTGTCTCGACCCGACCTTATACCTCGATGAACTTCAAAGCAAGATTTTAGAAAGGTTCAATAAAGAGGTTTCCATCAAGACTCTGTCGACTGAGCTACGAGACCGTCTGTGTTGGACTCGAAAGAAAGCCCGCACGGTTCATCCAAACCAAAGTTTGGCCGCGCGAGGGGCTTACATGGCCAGAGTCCTCGAAATTGACCAAAGATGCCTTGTGTTTGCCGGTAAGTCCTGGGGTTTGGTTCTGGTTTTTGTTCGGTAGATTCTAATGTGTGATCTTGTTTTGCTAGACGAGACGGCCATTGCGAAGCGGCGTCTGTATCGCGAGTACGCGCGGGCTCCCATTGGACAACGTACGCCCCGCCTCGCCAGGCCAACCCAAGCAGGCCGTTGGTCAGCCTTACCAGCCATCTCGCTTGATGGGTTATTGGCAATCACCATCAAGCGAGGTGGCTATTCTCGCCTCGACTTCGAAGCCTTTTTGGAAGATGACTTGGTAAGTCATTTCGCAACTAAACCATCACATCAGCCATGTCAATTGGATGTCTGATGTGATTGATTAATTTTTAGTTACCGGCCATGAACCCATGGCCGGCTCGCAACTCGGTGCTAGTCTTAGACAACACGCCTATTCATCACGGCGGATCAGTTGCTGATTTGTGCCAGGCTCGCGGGGTCAGGTTGATTTATTTACCGGCGTATAGCCCTGACCTCAACCCGATCGAGAAAGGGTTTTCCCCTGTCAAAGCGAGCCTCAGAAGGACCCAGGGATTGCAGGGGGCGATCGATGCTGATGGCGAGAGGGCGGTTGTATGGTTGACTATGATGGAAATTTTTACTGACGAGTTGTGCGCCAAGTTGTTCAAGGGGAGTGGATACATGTAGACCAGCGGGATTTCTAAGCGCAGTTGTACCTTTGATCAGCGGGATTTCTAAGCGAAGTTGTACCCTTGTAGTTACCTTTCTTTCCTATTTTGTAACTGCCTGTCTTTTTGAATGCCGAAAAAAAAATAGTTTCAAAGCATCGATTTGAATCACACGAGCCCCAAAGTCCTGTGCGTTTGGTGTCCTCAAAAACATAAAGACGTGGGAGATGACTCCTTCGTCAATGTTCCTCAAGTGTTCTTGAGGATCATTGACGAAGCCATGGGTCCGTTAATGTCGTTAACTTTGTCTTAAAGTAAACGACGTTAATCTTCGACTCTGGTTGATATCATTAAGTGGCACGCCATAATGATATCGATCCAAATAATCGATATCATTATCGGCAACTCAAGTGGTGGGCACGTCCTATCTACTTCGCACTTGGGTCCATCTGAAAAGTTTGAACAATAACGATTCAAATTGAGATTTCAAAAAGCGCGATCAACGCCGTTTACAAATTGCGCGTCCATCAAGGGCGCAGAGGGAAAGAATAATTTTGATTGAAAAAACAACTTGTATCAAGATCAGAGTGATCACTTTGTAAGGGACAACGTGTATTGAGCGTGTATAGAGATAAACAAAGCAAGGAATAAGAATTTTTTTTTTTTTGGTTTCGACTGTGCGCGGGAGTGACTTGTCAATTTAATCAATTTGCAGGAGGTGAATACGAATAGAGGAAATCCGCCTCTTCTGCAGCATCTATGAGACGACTGGCCAAGGAGAATGACATCCCATGACCAGTCAAAACATTAGCCGTCATTTGAACACTTGGCACCAGATCGGTCCAAGAAGAAACTCCCGCGTTGCGCAAAATCGCGCGAGTGGCCAGGTCAGTGCGGGGGACATCGCATTCCAAAAGGAAATCGTCCAATAGGGTGGCATGGGTCACCACAAATTCCACATCCGAGGACGAACCCTCATGCTCGGATTTGGGGACATCGTCCGAGGTGAGGAGTGAAATCGATTTGCTAGGTGTAATGCCTGAGGCTGTAATCAAATTGCATCACATTAGATAAGGGATATCTAAAAGGTATTTGAGGTGAACATCATTCTGACTCACTTCCTTCAGACTTAATTTTCTTGGGCGCAGCCACCGCGTCGCGAGAGGTTGAGGCTTCCAAGGTGCGTTTTGAGGTTGAAGGACTAATGGGTTCTTCCTTGACCTTTTTTTCTTCGGCCGGGGCATTGGCAAAGAAACTGCGTCGATTGCTGACTCTCGAGGTAGTGACGTTGGGAGTTGGCGATGGGACGGGGTAGCGCTTCTTGACACGGTTGTCAATGTTCATGCTGTTATGAAGGACCGTGTTTTTGAACATCTCCCTCTTGTACTCGGCGGTGTTCGGAGGTATCCCGCGGGAGGTGAGCCCATCGCGCTGGAAGGTAATATTAAATGAGAATTGGGTGACCAATGCAAGATAAAACCTAAGGTAAACACTTACCACCGCGGTAGCCCAAATGAACGCACATCGATGCGAGAAACGGTAAAAGAAATTCGGGTCCCATGGGGCCGTTAAGATCACGCCATCACCGCCCAGGGCTTTTTCGAGATGTTCCTGGTAAATCGTAGCTGCCTCGAGTTCCAAGTCTTTGGCTGCTTTCACCGCCTAGAAGAGATCATTATCACATTTAAAAAGTTAATCCCAGGTATGAGACCATGTCACAGCTCAAAGGTACGTACGGAGGTCTCTTCTTGAGCCGCCGCGGTGGCCTCCTTTGATGCCGCTAGTTCCGCTGCCATCGGGTTGGCCCCAGCGGTTCCTTGGATATAAGCCATCGCGCCAGTAGCCTAGAGGTGTTCATAGCTCGAGTCAGTTACGTAACCCAAAGAGAAAATTCGTTATAGAAGAACACTCACCTGAGCGTTCTTCTTCTGCTTGACTTGCGCCTTCTCTAAAATGATGTTGATATTTCCTTTCGAGCTACGACTTTTGCCCAAATTGACAACAAACTCTTGATATGATTTGAAATCGATTAACTTCGTTTTCTTCGATCCAACGCTGGCATTCCAGTTGAGCAAAGGGGCCAACACGCTGTTGAGAACCACCTTCTTAATCCCGGTGAAATAACGGTCGCACACGTCGCTAACAAACTCCTTCAGCTCATTCAAAGACTTCCCGTACAGGAAGACTTTGAAGTCTAAGACCTGTCCATCTTTGAAGTCTGAGGAGTCGATGACAGCGAAAACAGGAGGTGGTGCAGCTTGTTTTTTCGCGGCGGTCACTTTCGAAGTAGAAGAGGATTTAGCCATTCCAGGGGTTACCTCAACGATATCGTTGGTGTGAATCTTGAAAGTGACACCGATAGTGAAGCTTTGGCTTTCCTCCATCAGCCAACGACTTTCCGTTCCTTGACGCCAGAGGCGCTCGAGTGTCGGATGACGCGCTGGGGCGTCGTCTCCGTCTGCAATCAAATACGGCGGATCAAACACTGCAAGAGAAGGAGATCAGCTGCTTGAAACAAAGCAATTGATATGTTCTGAGTGACCAAACTCACCTTCATCGGGATTCTCGTCCTCATGGATGAAATTTCGAATGGGTTCATATGGCATTTCTGGCAAATGCTAATCACAGGTCAGCGTGCGATCAACACCGAAAAACAATTAAGTACTGACTGATATGAGCTTGAAGTCGATATGATGTTCCCGAGAACGATTTGACAAGAAATGGGATATTGGTTGATAACCACGTCTTCAAAGGAATCCAAGAAAAGATTTCGTCATCGCATTTTCTCCCATCACTCGTTCCGGCCGGCGACTCCATCGCAGTGCAGTGGGTGTCTCGTTCGTGAGTCTCGAACGAGGGATCGCCGATTAGAAAACCTGCTCGGACGAGGAATAAGTCATTAGAGAGCATGGTCGCAAGATTGATGTGCAACAGGGAATCAAGATCATAACCCACGGCTCAGTCCAAAAGCTCAAAGAAATTGAAAGTCAGAAACCCAGTAAAATCTGGGAGAAAAAAAATAAAATAAATAAAAAACCATTATTTGTCACATCGGCTGTATCTTGAAATTGAAATTGAAATTGATAGACTGGACTCAGACTGTCACTACATACTCACTCTAGGAATCGAATTTAGATTACTTCTGCTTCAAGAGTCAAGTTCATTGGAGTGATTGGTGTAGTTTATAGCACCAAGACTGGTAAGCCATTTCTCAATGATTGATTGATTGATTGAAGAAGTTAGATAATCAACTCGGACTACTTTAACACAGCTCATCTGATCAACGATTTCGATTGATTCAAACACTCAAAACATAAGCCAAATCCAATCCATCAAGATTACCAATCAAACTCAATCAATCAAACTCAATCAAAAGCTAACGAAGAAGGTCAACAGGAAGGTCAACAAGAAGGTCAACAGGAAGGTCAACAAGAGGAATAGTCAAATCCAACTCAATGAATTCAAATAAGTTGAATCCAATGACAAACCATCAAGGCATCCCATCATCAGCTCCAAGTACAACCACCACCACCACTCCTGCTTCACCATCATGCAAAGCACCATCCTCATTACCTTCAATCTCAACTTTAGATTTACCTTCACTCTCAATCACTTCACCTTTAACTCCAACTCCTAGTTCAGCTACAACTACAGATCCAATGGATCATTTGATTCCGAACTTTTCAAAATTACCTATATCACCTACTGAACCTATTTCAAACACAATCGCTTCACCAACAACAACAACGACAATGACACCAGGATCACTTAGTTCAAACACTTCAGTACTCACTCGATCATCTTCAATCTCTCGTTCGGTTAATGGTAATCTTACTGGTGTCAAAGTTCCACCTGGGTTAGCTGCTAAGATGGCAGCTGTAAGTGACTATCCTTATTTGTTTCTACCGATTCAAATCATTCGATCTGATATCTTATGATCTTCTTGATTGATTTCTTCAGATGGCTAAACGACATGATCAATCTCCATCAATGAGACCTGATCAACGACTCGATCCAACAGCTTTCATGGGTCCAAAAGCACAATTACCCAACCTTTCAAACCCTTCTTCAACTCATCCAACACCTCCAAGCTTAACTTCATCATCTTCTACACCATCATTAACAAACACAAACCTTAAATCAAAACCACCACTCTTACAACCTAGTATGTCACAAAGACGACAAAAACCGATGATGAGATTGGGAGACATGACTCAATCAACTAGTTCATCATCATCATCATCACCATCTGTGAATTTTGCTGAACGACCTAAATTCTTGGGTGTAGGAGGTCCTACGCCATTTTCAAATTTTTCGAAAATCGTAGATCCAAATGGAAGTTTAAATTTTGGAGGAAAAGCAGTCTTACATGCTAAAGGAGTTGATTTCACTAATGGATCATCATTTAAGATTAATATGGAAGAAATTGATTTATTGGAAGAATTGGGAAAAGGAAATTATGGTACGGTTCAAAAAGTGTTTCATAAACCTACTAAAGTGATTATGGCAATGAAAGTAAGTTTGAAAATTGATGTGTTTTTTTTCAATTGAGTAGAAGATTTAAAGGAAAATTGAAGTGATTTGTTCTGATTTTGTTTTGTTTTTGTCTTTCATAGGAAATTAGATTAGAATTAGATCATTCTAAATTAAAAGCGATTTTAACTGAATTAGATATTTTACATAGAGCCACATCAGACACGATAGTAGAATTTTATGGTGCATTCTTTATTGAATCATGTGTTTATTATTGTATGGAGTATATGGATGGTGGTAGTTTAGATAAATTAGCAGGTGCTGATGTACCTGAAGAAGTTTTAGCTGTCGTTACTGGTCAAGTGGTTGAAGGACTTCGGTTTTTAAAAGATGAATTACAAACGATGCATCGAGGTAAGTTATTCTCAGTAAGTCAAAGTAGAAAAAAGAAAGTTGACTCATCTTTGTAATTTTTTTGGTTCGGATCAGATGTGAAACCTACGAATGTATTGATTAATAGAAGAGGTCAAACTAAATTATGTGATTTTGGTGTATCTGGACAACTAGAAAGATCATTGGCCAAAACGAATATAGGATGTCAATCATACATGGCACCCGAAAGGATTCAAGGAGAACAAGCTGGATCAGTTTCAGCATATACAGTAGCATCAGATGTTTGGTCATTAGGATTATCTATCATTGAATTCGCTATTGGTCATTATCCATATCCACCTGAAACGTATTCGAATATCTTTGCACAATTAAATGCCATCGTACATGGTGACCCACCTTCACTTCCAGATCGATATTCGAAACAAGCCAAAGAGTTTGTTAAAGATTGTTTAGAGAAGAATCCAGATGATCGACCGACTTATAAAGATTTATTGAATCATCAATTCTTGGTACAAAATTCGGAAAATCAAGTAGATATGATTGCTTGGGTTGAAAAAGCTTTGGAAGAAGTTAAAGTTAAGAATTCGAATAAAGTCCTGAATGGTTAAGAGAGAAAAAACATTTAAATCGAATTTTTCAAACATGAGATCTTGGGATTTTCTTTTCTTTTTCTTTCTTTCTTCTTTTTTGGTTTGGGGGTAGTACTAGGGCAGGCAGGTACTTTGATAGGTTTCTTTTTTCTTTTTTCTTTTTTGTTATGTTTTTCTTCTTCATTTTCTCATTTTCATTTTTTCATTTTTTATTTTTATTTTCATTTCTCTTTCTTTTTTATTTAATGAATCAATGGTCAATTTTTTTTTCTTTCATGATGATGATGATAATAGTTAATTTAAACAAATGAAAATCAAAACTTCAAAGTATCTGTAAGTCTATATATAAATATACATCAATATTATATATATATATAAATATCAAAATATTCAATATATATTTAAATAAGACTTATGATATTGTATCTCTCTCTTTCTCTCTTTCTCTCTCTCTGTATCTATAAAATTCCTCTCTCTCTCTCTTCTTATTTTTTTCTTTGTCTTTTTTTTTGATGAGAAGAAAGAAACTTAAAAAAAGTATGGTGTGTTTTGTTTTGTTTGTCTGTGTATGTGAAAAAAGAGAGTTTTCCATAGAAGGTACCGAAGTGGGGTTTTGAGAGTTGGGTTGAGGTCTTGAGGGTATGTTGAATAAAGAAATATAAGAATGATTATACATCATAGGTATACTCTGGAACTTGAAGTGGATGAAAAAAATACATGGATATTTGACCAATGGACATCATACCACAATTCTTCTTCAATGTACCATTTTTAACATGTATGGCCTTGGGCTGTATTTATTGTAATCAGAGAAACAAAAGATATGTTGTTGATTAAAATAGTGACAACTTTGTGGTTGGTTGATAAGTTGATTTTACTTAACTTATTTTTCAAGTGGGTTTTCTACAAGGTGTTGTTTTTTTTGAAAGAAACTGTTTTCTTTGGTTTGGTTTGTCTCATATTATTTGACCAGCTATATATTTTACTTAATAGATGATAAACTTATCTTAAAGAATTGACAAGTTAACTCTTGGAATTAATACTTAGATAGATCTTGTTTCTTGTAAATAAGTAGTCTATATGAAAAAAATGGTTACATCAAAGATCTTTTACTTAATATATGTGGATAAAGTTAATGGTTTATGATTTGGAATTGAAATTGGATTTCTTTTAGAAGTTGAACTGATGGTATGGATTTAAGATCATGGATTGAAACAAGAAGAAATTTATTATGTAAAGGTCTCGGATTTGGAAAAGGAAAAAAAAGACTGAGTGGGATTTGTCTTTAGATGTTTGTATATGTTTTTTTATGTCTTGAAGCTTTATGTAGATTCTCTATTTACAGTCATTATCTCATAAAGCTTGACAAGAATTCCAAGCCGAATCATGACTTGAATTTGCAGGGCAAAGCTCGGTGAAGCTTTTTTGAAATTGGTTTTACATATATATGTTTGAACTTTGGATGGGGGTTTCATGTCGATATGAACACATAATTGAATTTTATAAACCATTTCAAATGGGTTTTTGAAAAATCGATCCTGAGACTTGGTCTTGAGGCTTGCAGGTTACATTTGCCGAACTTAAGTGAGACTTGATCACACGTATAGAACTACGCAAACAATTGTTTGTGTCTTTGTCAAAGAAACAAAAGAGTTTGGTGTTGATCTTATAAGAGGCATCTATATAGGATTGAGAAATTTTAAACATCATAACCCGATCGCGAAGGATTTAAAAATTATGTAAAGGACTCCCTCCTTCACCCGGAGCCGACAACCGAATTGAGTGTAGCTCTAAGACTACAGCAACAAGTAGATCATTTAAATTTTCATCAACGGCAACGCACCGCCTGCGCATATTTTTGCAGTGCAGCAGTGAAGGTGAGAAAAGTAAAGTAGAACAGATTTCCTTTAAAAGAAGAATCGTATCCATGTCTCTAGTTTCAACAAACCAAAGTCTATCAATTTGTCTCAAGTTTTCATAATTCAAAGTTAATCAATTGTCTCAAGTCTGGGCACATAATTGCCTACTTATATCTTTCCTGAAGTTGGGACTTGAGTCATTCCGTCACGGACTTGCTCTTACTGTGATTTTGTTAGTTTATAAGATCATCTTCAATCATAAACTTCCTTCCACCTTTGCTTCCTTCATATACACTTTATCGTATTGTGAATTTCTACTATAATTTTCATAAGCTATAATCATGAACTTTGGATCCAATCATAAAAGCTTTGAAATCTTTTTCATTCTCTCAATCATAATTGCTCAAGTTATCTGTGAGAGATTCTCAGAAACTAATCTTCCTCCGGGTACCATAGTGGTCAAACCAGGAAAAGGAACGTAAGTGAAGTAACCACCGAATAGATCAGATTTACCTTTGAAAACCTTTAATTATCTAATTCTTGATTTTTACATCTTAAAATTCTTTTTAGCTTATCGGCCGCATTTACCCAATTGAAAGGAAGGAAAGGAAAACAGTTTATATTCTTAAAGAAAGGTAAGTAAACATCAATCTTGGAGAGATAAAATGACGGATGATAATCTGATGAACTCAACCGACCAACCAACTCGATTCAGGTGTTTACTACGATAATGCAAAGTTGAATGATTATGAAGACGTAAGTCCTACCTCCAAGTCTTCAAGAATAAGATCATTGATGGGTTTAGGTTTGATTTACAGGGAATCATAATCCAAGGAGAAGGTGGTACTAAGAAATCATATCTGGATAATTTGGTTACCATCGTTTCTTCAGTGAAAGGAACTGGGACTTCCTCAGCCTTACGTATCAATGTACCAAAGTAAGTAAATATATCTTTAGGGATCATTATCGTCAGTCTTTGGGTTGTGACTTCTTCTAACTCAATCAAACAATCTTAGTGTGAACGTCTATAGCATGTAAGCTTTACTAAAGATCTCAACAATTACTCAGGACCAAAGATGCTCACCGATCTGATTGTGATTTTCTTCGAAGAACATTCCAAAACACGTTTGGACCGGGTTTTCAGGCGGTAGCCCTGACTGCTAATGGAGACAATCACAGTACGTTCATATCTCGATCAATTCCCCTTAAAATCCTCAAAGACTTTTCAATGATATCTTTTTGCCAAAAAATTACAAGCTGATCCGAACATTCTCTTCTTGAATCTTAAAAACTATTACAAACACTACAGTTTATGATCGATGTGCCTTTCTTGGTTTCCAAGATACATTGTATGATTACAGAGGAACTCATTATTTCTTTGGATGTTATATAGAAGGTGCGATTGGTGAGTCTGTTTTTGATCCTGATTACCGTTTCTTAAGTATATTTAAGAAATCTAAATGAGATACTTTAGACTTCATCTTTGGTGGTGGAAGAAGCTTTTATGATAACTGTGTGATTGGAATCAAACCCAACAAAGGAGGAGTACAAGAGTTAGTAAGATTTTCTCAAACTTCATTCCAATAGATTGAATTAAAGGAGATCTAGATTTGAAAGAAGATAAACTGATGATGATTTTATTTTTTTTTCTTTTCAGGATCACAGCTAATGATGCTGGATCACCAGGACATTTAGATTCAATCTTTGTATTTGATTCACCAAATTTTGTTGACCTTCATGGGGTTCCTGCAGCTACAACCTATTATGGAAGAGCATGGGGTCCTAAACCACAAGTAGTGATTCAAAACCCAAACAATTTTGGAAGCTTACATCCAGATGGATGGGATCCAGATGGGGTGGGTTCAATTAAATTTGATGGATCTGATTTTCGTGAATTACCATTGAAGACCAAAAGAGGAAAACCTTTAAAACAAAGAATCACAAAGGAAAGAGTCTTGGGTGATAAATTTCGTTACTTATCTTAATCATCAATCTATCAATTGTTTTTCTTTACCTCAATATGTCTTGTAAATTAAATGATCATGAACATTTTGGTCAGATAAACTACTAGAATCATTTTTTCTAAGATTCAAAAATCTCAATCTATAATCTTCATTTTTTTTTCACTGCTGGTAATACAATTCATCTAAATAAATTGTAATTGTAATTTCTGATAATCAAACTATGTGAACACCAATTTGACTTGAGTTGGTTTCTTTCTTTCTTTCTCTACCTTTTTTTTTGAAAATAATAAACTTTGATAATTGAAATCTTTAAAAATTGGGATGAAGAGTTTTTGAATTTTCATGAATTCCAATCTCACTTTCTTTCCATTCTCAACTTTTGGGATATCTGAATGTGGGAATTCAATATTACATTTTTCTTTTATTTCAAGTGTTATAGATTCCTATCTAAACTATAACTCGTAATCCTAGGCAAACCAAGACGACCCGGTTAAGGGAAGTAGAGGTTTCTTGGGGGGGGGCCTCCGCTCAAACGGGAGCTGAGGGGGGTAGGACTACCAGCACTGTAGATGGGGGGGCTCTGAACGGTGGGCTAGGCAACCCCTCTACAGCACTTAAAATAGACTACAACAACTCACATTTAAGATAACTATGAGAGGATACAAATTCTTACACAACAATTACTCCAAAAGGTAGGATTCCAGTACTCATTCGAAAGGACCAAACCACGATAAGTTTGACAGTGATCCAAGTGTGATCTCTAAATGCCTCTGTCCCATTAAACTACATAGTATTGCAGGTGAACTGTTTTCGGGTGGTGGGAGGGTGCGAAAAAGAAGGGAAAATGTGAGAGAGAAAGGCTGATAGTAGCTTTTGAGCTGACAGCGTGAGATAATCCAGAGACGGGGGACGAGCGGGCGAGTGAAAAATTTTGGGAAGGAGTTTTTGGAAATCAAAAACTTGTTCCAACATTTTTTGCAAAGTCTGCGTACAGGAACATGGTAATTTTCCTATAAGCATACTTCCCCGTGAGAGCCCCGTCACAATATCACAACCGTGTCATGAAAAGCGGCGGTACCGTCGTGCCTTTGGGTACCGCCTATCATTTATGATAAATTGGATTTGACTTGAGATGATTAGAAAAAAAATTGGTCAAACCCTTTTCAAAAAAAAGATATGCAAACTGATCAAAATAAATACACTCAATCCACTCATTCCTCACAATATCTCACTGAGGGCAAGGAAGAATGAGGACACATGTTTCCTTTTTTTCCCTTTGTTTCTTTTACCATCATTACATACTCATTTTTAACTGGTGTTGTAGTAGAATACATTTCACGGGTTTTGTCCTAGGCAAACCTATAGATTATGTATTTGACAACTCTGTAGGTTTCTTGGGGGGGCAAGGGAGGTAGGACCACCTGTAAAGTAGATGGGAGAGTGCTGAATGGCCGCTATAGGCAACTCTTGCACCTACATACAGTATTCTGAACTACATTAGCAAACCACATTACATAAACTTAATTTCCAAGGGGTGAACCTCTTTAATTTGTGTACATTGCTTTGAGCATCAAATTATCATACACTAAACACATTCCTTCTTCTGAGTGGAGGGTGGAAGCAAAAAAGAAGAGTCTGATCTCAAGAGATGAGATCATGAGAGAGATGAGTGGGGGATGAGAGAATCCAGATCTGGGGGCGGGATAATTCAAGGATGAGGGTCACAACACAGATGGAGAGGGAGGAAAAAAAAATTTTGTGCAACATTTTTCATGTGTGCATTGAGAGAAATGTGTCCCATCCCCTGGCTACTTTCTTGTTTACCCATTACCCAACATCTACCTGTATTGTGGAAAAAGATGGTACTGTTGTGCCTTTGGGTACCATCAAACATTATACATAACTTTCTCTTGTTCAAGACCACTTCAAAGGCAAGGCTCCAAGGTGATATCCTTTGAGAAAGTTCAATGTCAAGATTTCACAATACATATATAAACATATTTAATACCTCTTGTACAATCAACAATGGGCTGCTGTGTTGCATTACTTGCAACCCTTCATTGTGAGCAACAAAAAAACAATTCCCCAGACAGCTTCAACACAACAGGAAAAACCAAAACCCTTTTGTGTTTCTGTACCCAAGATAAGGGAAGTAAGAGATGGACACAGTCATTTTTGATACCTGACTATGAGCTCAAAGAAAACAAAACAAACTTCATGTCATCACCAATCAGTTACATCTTGTTTTTTTCAGAAAGATTCCATTTTGATCCATCAGGAGGAGATACCACAGCCAGAATTTATTTAGGGTGTGTTGCTGAGAATTGCAACATCACAAGCAGAAAACCTAGCTCTTAAGATCAACACTACAAGCAACAGACTGGGCCAATGTGCTGGGTTGCTGCCTGCAGCAACATCTTGTGTTACTGTCATTTGTGCACTGTTGGCAACACCATGGCCCACTTTTCTTTTCAGGCTGGGATGCATGATAAGTACATACCTGTTTGAGTTCCCCTGGAATTACCCTTCATCACTGTTTATGATATGAAGGGGCTCTTATGATTTCTATCCATTTCTGTCTTTGATTTCATCTAATAAAAGTAAGCATAACAATCAGACCTGAGACAGTTTATGACTAGGATGAGTCAAAACAGGAACCATCCCACAACAGGTTTTACAGGAGCAGGTCTTCAGATTCAAGGCATACCAGAATGTGCTTTTCTAGATCACTACCTCTTAATAAGCAAATTATGGCTTCCTTGTATTGCTATAATTGACCAGTCTTATTAATCAAAGGCCTTAAAAACAGTGACATTGTCTGACTCAGTCAACAAAACTGGACAGTCACATTACACTAAATTAGCTACCAGTACCAGTCCTGATGTAGTAGTTGAGCACATCATTAACACAATCACACACTCATATTTTCTTTGAAGAAAAGGCAACTGATCCTCATCAAGAAGTGTAATTTAAATCTCAAAGACATCAACATGAGATTCACAAAAGTATGTGTTATGTCTAAGATCATCTTGATAGTAATAATCAACACCAAACTCTTTTTTTCTTTCACAGAAAAATTGTTGTTGTAATTTTTACTTGTGACAAAGGCTCACTCAATTTAGGTAAATGTAACCAAAGCTCAGGGTGATTTTCACATAATTAATTGTGATTTTTCAAGAATTGTTTGAAATGTTTTATAAAATCTTATTGTGTTTTGAGATCAACATGAAACCCCCATACAAACATGTTGAAGAATGTATAAGCTGTAAGATGTTAGAAAAGGATGCTAACATCTCAAACAAATTCACTTGGTTTTCTTTTTTCCTAATTTGAGGTCTTTAATTGATTTTTTCTTCTTTCATTTGATCTTTGAATCCAAGTTTCTAGTTCTTGATTGAATTTGATTTCAATCAACTATTAGATTTGTATATACATATTTGAGTATTAGATCTCAATTTATCAAACCACCTAAAATCTTTTTCCAAGCTTTGAATGTAAAAAAACAAGACTTTTGTTGAGACAGATTCTGTCAGAGAACAAGAAAAATCAAGAGATTTGATAAAGATCATAAAAACATTTATATATACATGCTCAGACAAAGTTCCAAAACAAATTTGAAAGCTGAGGGGATTACTTTCCTTGGGAAAAAGATATGTACTATGTGCGCAAGGGGAGTGCACACAACACAGCCAGAATATTTGGCTTGGAGCCAAAAATCCAATGAGTCTTTGGATTTTGACTCTGAGTGAAGCTCCATCTGAGGATCCAATCTGAGGCAATGGCCAGGGCCAAAATTTGCCTCAGAATCACCCCTTGGGTTCCCTTCTCCTTGGCACAGGAAACAAGGGATGATTTTCCCATGGGAAGACTGATTACATTTGTTGCAGTTTCTGAGGCAAAACCCAGTATTAATGCAGAAATAATGCCAAAACAATACATTTTGGCTTATAAACTGTGTTGAGCACAATGGGTTCTCCCATGGGAGAATCATCTCTTGTTCCCTGTGTGGGGGCCCATCTGAGGACTCCTTGGGCATTTGTCTCCAAGCCAAATATGCAGGCAGTGCAACTTTTCTCTTTGGATGGTAATCCTTGGTGGGGAGCTGCATAAAAGGCTTTCAAGGAAGCTCCTGCAAAAAATCTTATGGTGACCAATGAGTTTGTGCAAGTATGGCATAATTCCTTTCAGGGCTAGTGTGGGAAGTCATTAAGTTTATGATGGCTCTTGGTTTCCTTTGTGATAAAGGGCCAACACAGAGGGGGAAAATCAGTCACATATCATTATAACATTCAAACGCAAACCAGGTTTGCTTACAAAACCTGATCACAGTGAAAGAGGCTCACATCTAGATAATTGTCATGCATTGTACAACTGTTATTCTATGGGAGGAAAAGAATTTTGACTGACTCGTATGTGTTACATCTTTTCTCATTATTTCTCATTTGACCTAATTAACCTCATATTTTAGTGAGCAGATATAGAGCAACTGAGGTAAAAAAGGCTCACCTTTAGATAATTGTCACGGGTTCATAAGATACCTCTAAAAATTTGTTGCTTTTCAGAAAATATCAAAAGTGCACTCAACCAAAAGACCAAGATGATATCATACTCCCTCTACTCTCAAAGATGGACAGGATCCATCACTGAAATTGCCTGGTTCAAGAAACTTGTTGGGCATTTGCCAAAGTCTCTTGGTGATTGCCACAAGCACAGGAATCTGTATGCTTCTGTACCCAGCTTGTTGAAAACCACTGCTGTTTATTATAAAAATGAGGACTATCATGTCATTCAATTATGCCATTCAAGTTGAGGATTTTATTGGACAGCTAGTTGTCATCAAGAACCCTGAAGGTACATTTTGTTTCTAGCACTTTCTGAAGCCCAAGAAATAAATTTAAAAGACCCAATATGTGTAGGTTGAGCAGGCACACAAGGCCTTTCTTAGGTCCAGAGGATGTTTATTTGCAGGGGTCGGAGCTATTCAGGGTTGAAAAATTCCACAGCCAAAAAAAAATGGCTCTCACGCCAAATTTCATGTATAAGCCAAAAGTACCTCTCTCGACTACTCGCTCGTCTGAGAGGGACTTTGTTAAGTTAGACACGCGGCCTTACGCGGCGCCTCCTTTCGCAACTTGGCCTCGTATCGTAGTGTGAAATGCAAGCGAGTTTGAAGTTTGAAACAGGCGACCCATCAGATATACAGACATGATATTCGGGTTTACATACATACACACATCTCTTTGGCGATCCCACCTGAAAGTCTTCACAGAAATTACCGAAAACTGCATGGTGTGGTGAAAGAGGATGAAGGATCTGCCTCCTACGTTTTGTGTTGTAGATTTTCAGGCCGGCCGTTAGACGTCGTCCGATGGCTTAAATCTAGAACTTGGGCTCCGTTTGTGGTGGTTTGCACACAGTGATGAACTCATGAAGATTCAATTTGTTGATCCAGAGGACCCACGAATGGTTGGATCTATGCTGATGTATCAATACGATACAGTACAAAGTATCACGACTGGAATTAAGAAGTGAGCCACCGTGGGTTGAACTTACACGATACATGTACGAATTTGACTCACAAATGCTTTAAAGACCATTAAGCCCGTTGGTGGCTGGAAAAAATTGAGATCTTGTTTATCTGGTTTGTTGATTGAGTTTAGCTGTTTGCAATCTTTCTATTTTGTCCTTCTACTTCCCATTCAGACCTCTCGGTGGCCGGGTCAATGATTATTGTCAACTTCTTGAGCGCTCAGTCGGTTTCGTCCTCCTGTTGATAAGGCCTGCCTGTGGTGTTGCGACTGCTCAGTTCATCTTATCGAAGCTTCTTTGACTATATGCAATGGTGTTCGAAGTCCGGCGGCTGAAAAGCCCTTACCATCGTAGGAGCCAAGATCAAAATCAGTTACTAGACATGCCTTCAGTACTACTCGACCTTCCACTTACGGTTGATCCCTATCAATATGTGTCAGAGCTGCTCCTGCAATTCACGTCGCCCGACGCGTCTCAGTTCACCTACTCAGTCACCGTTGGATTTGGGGTACTCTTTGGAATCGTCATCCTGATTTGTGCGTCTATGGTTGCATATCCGTTTGTTGAAAAGTCGGGCTCGAGGGGGAAAAACTTCTGGCTGGTACGCAAGTGCCATGCCGAACATTCCACTGGTAAGAAACTTTACATCTGAATATTGTCGGTGTTCGTACCACATACTGACTGGAAACGCGCCGTAACCTCTCAGCCAAACAACCATACCTCGTTTTAAATGGGGGAATCTCGCTTGCGATTTGTCAACTTTTGGGTTCCATTATATTCGAGATATTCATTGTGCTCAGTGTTTTGGTCCGCAAGCACCCTGATCGAAACTATGCACCATACCAAGCTTTTTGGTACGTTCAACTTCCAATTAGACTTGAAAAGCTGCAATTCTTGTCAGAGATCCCGTGCCACTTGAACACGTCACCGATTTCATGATTTGTGACCTCATTTCCTTTGTAGTCAGATATCGATGTGGCTTCCGGGTAGGTACAGCTCACGAGAATTTCTTACTGAACATCATTCAAAGTTGAAGCCATTGTCGTGTTCAAAACAGGTTTCTGTGGTTTTCTGGCCAGCGCATTTAGCGCGTTATACGTTTGGTGAGCCCTAATCTTCCTTTGCTACATTCCTTACAATTCTGTTCTCTGACGGTATCATTTGGATCTTTGGATCAGTATCTCTACTTCGAACCAAGAACGGCCCTCTTTTTTTCTGAGCCCAACCGTCTATAATTCTCTTCTGGTTATCATCCCAGTCTATGCGACTATCCAGGCAATAAGTTGGGCCATTGCAGGATTTTTGATCGTCTCTAGACAACTGCAAACCTTTGCAATACTTTTGCAAACTCTGAGCGACGCATCACAGAATTGGCAGAAAATCCATCTCATTACACCAGAAGACTTGAAAAGTGTTTCACAAGCCTACACACAAACTACGAACTTTGCTGATAGACGTTTTTATGTACGACGCGGCTCTACCCTTTCTTGGCTACCAATCTCCATCGGACTTCTTTGTGTAGGTCTCAATCACAAGTCTTGAGATTGTTGCCATTCTGATCAGTTCTCTCCTGTCAGTTTTACCTGTATACCGTTTTTTCGCTCTTCTGTCTCATCCGTGACTTAGACCGGAATTCGGAGAATAAGGAGGACAGGTTTACTTTGTTGTCAATCTTACCACAATTTACCATGCCCGCCAATACCACCCTGGCAGCTACTCAAAGAGATTATCGTGAGTCAATTTTACCTCATTGAGTTTCTCAGTCAGCTAAATTATCATGATATGTATTTTCATTCGTGATCAGGACTACTCCTGTGGCACTGTGTGTTCATGTCTTTTTGCTTGATATACAACACCGGTGTTGGTCTTTGGTTCCTTTTCTCGGACCAGTGAGCTTTTCTTTGACAACCAAGAAATTCTAAGATTCTCCGACCTATCATGCTGATAATCTTCTTATATCTTCTTAATTTCCGGTAAATGAAGATCAAATTGGCACGCTTCCGGGGAGCCTATCAGTCTCGGCGGGGGTTTCTTTCTCACGATTGGTATGATTTTCCAAAGTGTGCGTGTCTCCTCTATGAAGTCATTCGCCCCAGAGCACGTTCCTCAAATACGTTCTTCATACCCTCAGCGGCTAGTCATCGGTCAAGGGCAGAATCAAGTAGGACATCAAGAAAGAGAGAAACAGCTGAATTCTTCATAGACTACTTTTTGGTTTCCCATCTCCCGACACTCAAACCCGGACCTCAAAAGCTATCCGATACCCCAAGGATTATCCATAAAGATGACAAGAACTTGGTTTCTCCGTCTGACTGGTTCATCACAATTTTTTAGCTCAACATTTTACCTTTATATTTTCTAGTCTCGTCTTTTTGACTTATTTATTCGCTACTTTTTTCGCACATGAGATTGGTTTTTTGAATCATACCTTGCTAGCTTTGAACCTGTTTTCCACGTTTCTAGTATCGTCTTTTTTGGCTTTTTTTTCTCTTCATCAAGCGACATGTATTTTTCTAAAGACTTTGAATTACAAATGTCCAGGCCACTCTGTTATGGGGATAAATTGTGTTAATGTGGGTCATGTCTGGCTTTTCATCAGGAGAAGTTGTGATATCGGCGAGACTGGCCTGTGAGAGAACAGTACCCTCATCAAAGAACATCATTTTAATGACGAATCGGCCTGCAGAAAAGCAAGAAATATGATATGGGATCGTGTATTTTTCCGGACGGAATTTGCGGACGTTAATGTTCGCAAAAAGGGATGTTCGGAAAATCGTACTTTTGCCCGGAGAGAGTGAAATTTTACAGACAAAGTACGGTGGCCGTGGACGGCCAAATCGGACAAAACGTCAAATATGCAAAAATGTCGATGAAACACCCTTTGAAAGCCCCATGGAGCACTCACCTAACTAAGTCCCTCTCGGACGAACGAGTAGTCGAGAGAGGGACTTATAGCTTATCCACGAAATTTGGCGTGTGAGCAACACCCTCACCGCACCGAAATGAAAATTCGATTGCGTTGCGATTGCGTTGCGGTCACGCGCAGTCGAAACGGGTGCGATTGCGTTGCGGTCTCACCGCACCGAAATCGGGTATGGGAAATCGTGATTTCGGTCAAACCGCAACGCAACCGTAATATTTGTATTAAAACCGAAACGCAACGCAAAATCTTGCGTTTGGGTGCGGTATAAAGTCAAGCAAGGAAGACAGGGGGTGAGGGTGTAGATGATCTAACAGGATACTCAACCCAATGTGTCTTAGTTGGTTGGGGCTTGTCAACCTGCTTACTTTGAACAATTCCCACCTTTTTTTTCGTAATTTCATGTTATCAATTTCCACCTTTTTTGTAAGAACCTTACCTTTGTCTTTGAGTTCACCTTTCTTAATCTCTTATGCTCAAATTTGATGGCTCCATCCGTTTCATCTTCCACTTTACAAGTACCCCAGACACAAAGATCACACACAAGTCCTACTAGAGCCAATTCACTGGTTGTTGGTTCACCTAATAGCCAAGAAAATCGTAATCGGGATGATGCCAACCTCATAGGCTCGGATACTGATAAGGCAGCTTCAGACGGAGAAGATGGAGAAAGGGGTCCAGAGTTGTTGAAATCACCTCAGCAAGCTAAACGTCACCGTCGTAAGTCTTCGGGTGGGCATGCTGACTCGGAGGCAGCTCGAAAGAAGCGATGTGTTGAGGATGGAGGAAAGGCTCCTGCAAAGAAAACAAAGAAGAAACTCGCCCCGCTTCAAAAGGTGAGTGTCCCATATCTCCAAAATATCCTTATATTGTCTAACTAACAGTACTGTAAACCGGTCCCTCATTTCTCAAGGTGATTGTAGTCCCTGATGGGATGAACCTCAATCAAGAAGAGTCCGACCATGACAATAACCCCGATTCCACAGGACCTGGTCGTACACATAATGTGAAGCAGCTATTCGATTAATATGAGAAGGAACCTCGTAAAACAATGGAAAAGTATTTTGAAGTAGACAAGGTATGTGGCTCTTGAACATATGAGACAGGAAGTAACTTGAATAATTTGATACTGAATTTTTGTGGGTTCATTTGATAGAAAACGAATAAGAAGATTCAAAAAGAGAGGGAAGTGTATTTGTATAAATGTAGATGGTGTAAAAATGAGTATAAGGATGGCGAAACCAATCACTATAACTTACAGACTCACCGAGATGGCAAGAAAAACCGGAAACCATGCCCTATGCGATATCTTGCAATTAAAAATGGGGTCATCTGCCCTCCGACTTGGGAAGAAGAGAATGCGCTATCGCCCACTTCGACCACCAAACAGACTTTGATAACATCTTTTGTCAAGTTTACTGTTGAGATACTCAACAAAATCATCGTTCTTTGGGTATTACTTCATGCCTTACCTTGGGTCCGTGTTGATGATAATGAACTCAGAGCAGCTTTCACCTGGGCAAATCCTCAAGCAATTTTGAGATCCCCAACTTGGATTGCTGAATCTTCAAAGGTTCTTGCACGATCTCTACAAAATGAAGCAGTCTCAACTTTGAAAAACAACTCGAGTCGATTCTGCTTAATCCACGATGGATGGACAACCAAGGGTAGTCGCTATGCCTTCCTTGGTGTCTCTGCATCATACATTGATGACAACTGGGAGTTCCAAACAATTCACTTAACTCTCAAGCGAATTATCTGGGATCATTACGGGGTACTGCTTGCTCGACCGGTTGCAAGCTTCCTTATGCGTCATGGTCTTCATACAAAGATATGTATATTCAAAAACTCTCTTTTGAATTTGACCTACGGCCTAATCTTTTTCATTCTTTCTCCACATGATAGCCCAAACAACTGACTCGGCTGGAAGTAACAACTTCTTAGCACGCGAGGTCCAGAGGTTGTTCATGGAGAAAAAAGAAGACCCAATTTTCTGGGACTCTCAAGGTAATCACATTCGATGTTTTTGTCATAAACTAGCACTTTCGGTCAAGTATGGTTTGGACTCTCTCAAGCTTAAGTCTGGTCACATCAAACCCACGACTCAACCCAACGTACGCATGCCAATACCCATCCTGAAGATCAACGGAGCCAATCGAAAAAGTTCAGATGCGGAGGAAGGATCTGCTTCCGTCACATCTGAGTCTGAAATTGATGATGATTGGAAAGGACTTACACAAGTTTCAGTACCAGAAAGTGAAGATGATCTGCCTGCTGGACCGCTGATGCCCGATACAACTTGGGGTTTGGTCACCAGCGGGGTGAAAAAGGTATGTCACAGGTCCCATTCACTCGCGAGTTGACTCGCATGAAGTTAACAGCTCATTTTTTCATTGCTTATCTTTTCAACCAGGTCGAACAGATCAGCCAAGCAGTGGCTTCCTCTCCTGCCAAACAGGGAGAGTACGAATCAGTAGCAACCAGCCTTATGTACACTGGAAAGATGCTCATCTATGGCTATGGCATTCGCTGGAACTCCAAGCTAGACAGTTGGCAACGTGCATGTGATGCCCAAAACGTACATATTATTTTGTACAACCTCAGTCACTCCAACACCTGTGTTCACTTTAGAGTTTCTATGTAGGTTATAAACAAGTTCATCACCCAGGATTGTAAGAAGGAAAAAAGCCAACAATACTTTGATGGCTTGCGAATCTCAGATGAGGAGTGGGGGGCTGTTGAGGCATTACTGTCTGTCTTGAAGGTACGTATTGGACATAATTCAAATTTATATCGAGTTACAAATCAAGTTGAGATGATTGTACCTGTTTACAAATCATAGATATTCAAAGAGGCAACGTTAGAAATGGAAGGAAACCATTCAACCGCTTACCAAGTCCTTCCTGAATATATCCAAATACTTACTGCCCTACGTGCTTCAAAGACTGAACATGGCCACACATACCCTGAACTCGGACTTGCAATTGACATCATGATCAAAGATATCGAATCATATCAAGACAAAGCTTTACAATGTGATGCAATCATGATTGCTACAGCCATGCACCCACGATACCGCCTTCAGTTTTTCACCAAGTTTTTCCCCGATCATGTTGAACATGCTTGGAGTCTGTTGGAAAGAGCTTATGATGAAGAGCTCGCTCGTATGCCAAAACGGCGAAGTACACCGGCCTCAACCTGCAACCCAACTGACCTATCTTCAACACATGAAGACATCGTTGATGATTTTAGCAACGTATCAGGTGATGAATCGGTCAACACACATGCTGAGCTCACAAGATACCTCGACACGAAAACGATCGCACCTAGAGGTGCTTTACCTCTTGCCTGGTGGAAGGTATGTCCTCAATCCAACATATTCATGTCCATATCGGTTCAGATTCAAAGTTTTATTCATCTACAATTTATTATTTAGGAAAACTATTCAGCTTATCCAGTTGTGAGTCGCATGGCCCGCGACTACTTGGTGTGCACTGGGACTTCATGTGCCTGTGAACGTACCTTCTCGGCGGCTGGACGAATTGCAACTGCCGACCAAAGCCTGGCACCACGCACGATTGAACGGGCTGTGGGGTGTCACCAGTGGCTTAGCCAGGGTATCAAAGTCCCAGAAGAATATGCGGAGGCTTTTTCTGAGGTTCAAAAGGCTAGATCAAAGAAGTCTTTGGGCCGATCCAGGAAGACCTAATTTTTTACACATTGTTACTCTGTTTTTTTCCTTGTCCTCTTTTCATCCTCGCCCCTAATCAAAACCCATGCTTTGTATGTTCATGGCTTGTTATTTGCCAACACAATCTCTCAAATGAATATCAGCTGTTTTTTCGAAACCACCGAAAAAAAATTCGGTTTGCGTTTCGATTTCGTTGCGGTTGCGGTTTGAGAATTGCACCGCAACCATATCATACATTTGAGATTTCGAATTTCGATTTGATTGCGGTTAGGTTGATTTTGATTGGGCCGCAACAAAACTAAAACCGCCATTATTTCGGTTCGTTTCGGTGCGGTGAGGGTGTTGGTGTGAGCCTGTGGACCTTTGGCTGGGGCAATTTTCAAATCAAGACACTGCATTATCTTGTTTACAAAACTCCTCTGGAGCCAAGAAAAAATTTGTGCTGTGAATCATCCTACATACACCTGTGCCGGTATCAGCATGCCAAACCAAATGGCTATCAATCTATTCAAGATCAATGTTTTGGATAATTTCCATCCTCTGTAATTCGCTGCGGAGGTTTCAGAGAGTCATTTACTCATGTCTTTGAGAA